ATTCGAATAGCTAGTCTAATTTTATTTGCATATTTGCATGCAACCTCATCGTTCTATACCCAAAATCAAAGGCATTAAACAGCATTAAAATTTTAAAACAAAGTGATCCTTGCGCCAGTGCTCATGCTACATCAAATAAAAAAGCAAAAGGAAAATATAAAATAAATAAAATCGTTAAAAAGGTTACATGATTACAAAGCAAAGAAAGCCAAAGCCAAACCGACGATGGCAGATCCACCGATTGTCAAAGCTGAGGCTCCGGAGGTGTAGATTGGTGGTGGGGCATAGGTGGTGCCGTTGCCACCATGGTGGGTCGAAACAGTGGCTGTGCCATTCTTGTGTTCGTGGGTGGAAAGAGTGACAGTGCTATTCTTGTGGTCGTGAGTGGAAAAGTTGACAGTGCTATTCTTGTGATCATGGGTATAAACAGTATATGGCGATGCTGGAGTAACAGAAGTTACATTGAAGCCACTAGCAGCGCCGCAGGGACTGCAAGTCATTTCGCCTTTCTTGGTCATATCGTTATCCCAACAGAATGGTGTTTCGGCTTCTCCCTTGCTCGCGGCGGCGCCTTCGGCCTTGCAAAGGTAAGCGCAAGATGGCTCAGGAATTGCGGGGCATTCCTCTTGAATACCGGGGCAAGGTGTGCAGCTGGAATCTGTGCTGTAAGACCACTCGGTTTCGCAGGATGGAGAAAATTTGGGGCCGCTGCAAATGAATGCGCAACCTTTTTCGAACTTGAGAGGGCAAGCTGCTGCTGTGGCGGTGGGCTGAGCTGGTGCGGAAGATGTTACTGAAAGTGGTGGAGCAGTATATAGCACATCAGCGCTGGCAACAGAAGCTGCAATAGTAGTTGGAATGGATGCTGTCGAGATGCTAACAGGAGCGTATCCGTAGTCGCTAGCAGAGGCACCGAGGGCCAAGACGCTGCAGAGGAGGATGCTGGAGTAGGAAGGCATTTTTGAAAGTGTTGGAGAGTGAAGTAAAGTAAACTTAAAAGGTAAAGTAAAATAAGAAAATAAGAAGAAAAAAGATAGGTGAAAGAAAGAAAGAGTGAATTAAAGAATAGAAATCGGTATTAAATTAAAAGTTGAGAAGTGAAATAGTTATCCAGTAACTATAGATTGAAGTGAATGTGTGATGTTGATCTGATTTGGATAAGGAAAACTGGAATTGGAAAGCGACGAGTGCAAGATATATATACACGAATGCTCGGGCGAAATGTTTCTAGACGAACGCCTTTTTGATCAAACGTGCATTGGTGTCAAACCGCAGCACCGAAAAAAATATTTTATTCTCCGATAAAACGTGGATATCACCAGCCACTTCACACTCGAAGCCAAGCCAAATTGTTTCTAGAAGCCAGGAACGCCATGCCTAATTTGCATATGCACTAGACGACTTCGCAAAAGTGGACTAGTTGATTGGCTATTCGCTGTCACACCAGCGTCGCCATCCTGCATAAGGCTCTGGTTCTTCGCTATTAACGCCACAGGTGTCTTAATACCACTGCCACGAATTCTGAGACGAACGGAGGGATCAATTTTTTCACACACGCAATCAGGGACAATCTTAATCTCATCGATCATACATTGGTACGTTGCAGGTATTTTTATATGTCTTTCTGTTAGTTATGCGAGCGGGAAAGGTTTCCCTTCTTGGTTATCCGAGTCTTGATTGATGGAGCCGAAAAATCCTATTGTACTAGTATATCGATACTCCAGGTCTCAACTGGTTATTGTGGTAGGGACGTTGTAAAACTATCGCTATATTTAGTAAAATTTGCGAGTATGGTCATCTCGTTTAACTTTTCCCTTGGGGTTTATCGATGAAATTTCCGTTCGGATCAAAGCATATTAGGTTGGTTCCGGTTCAGCTTCGAGCCATAGGATCGATCTCGTGACCAAGTTTGCGTAAAACGGGAATTCTTATTAGGTGTAGAAAGTAACGAGATACTTACTAGTAGATTCTGGGCATTAGCTCTGCGGGGTGAGTCTAACGATATTTAACTAGCTATTAGCACACGAAAATTTACAAGTCCCGTAACAGAAGCTTTCTGTTGTGGGCAATATATCTGCAAACACCGCAGATAGGCAAGCCATGCTGAGTAATCTACATGTATAATTAACAAGTAAAGTTTTGATGAAGTAATCTACAAAAGTTTGCCCGGTAAGATCTCACTCACAATATACAGATACTGTTTCTGCTATTTCACCTGCAGGGAACCCAGCCGAGGCTTTGGTATTCCCTTGGAAATGGGTTCTACACTGAAGGATAACTTCGTGTCTAACACTGAGGGAATATCCTTATAGCTGCCTTGCAGGGCCTAAGTAGCAAGGTGTTTCCGGAGTATGATCGTTGCCTATAGTAAAATATCTCTGTTGGTTGCGGGGTAAAATGAAACAGTGTCGTTAGTGAATATCTGGAAGACATAAAAAGATGATATAGCATCCTGCTGGAAATAGGAATCAAATTTCCTTTCAAATGATTTCGGCTACTCGAAAGTCTCAAAGTGCATGGATTAAAATTCTATTGCCTAATGGCTGATGCTAAGATGATTTATCAAATTCGCCTTGTTATTACCCCAGTTATGTTACATTGGAAGGAATGTATACATATATTTACAACAGTTAGTTACGATAGCATCAAAACTTGGGAATGAGTTGCATTTGGTGTTTGTGCGTCAGGGTATGCATATATGATCGATTTCGGAAAGTTTAGATTACTTGCATGCTGCGGTATTTTTTTTTTTTTTTTTTTTTTGGATTAGGGCTGATTCATGGGAATATCGATGCGGTGGGTATTAGCAGCTAATGGCACGCACGTATCGCTACACTGATCGGAGCAGGGCACTAGAAATACCCAGAATGTATTAATGATCGTTACATCTCATCAAACCAGGTCGTAACATAGAGATTCAACTAGCTGGTTTCGTTAGATTACATTGGCCAGCATGCTCAGGGTCGAAATATGTACGAAATAAGAACGCATGTATTGGCGTTGCCGATAGCTTATATTTAATAAATGACACTAGTAATTAAGGAACGTATGTAACAAATAGGGAATCAAATAACTCCTCCCAATGCTATGCATGCGATGAATCATGAATCGTGACATTCATTGTCGTTGACCTGTGTACCCACGACCAATTCTCTTTTTATGGCTTGCTAGTAACGTATGTAGTCGAAGTCGTATCACCAATGGTGACTGTGACGTTGTAGGTCACCAAAGTCTGTGCATCCGCGGCACCAAATAGGGAGAAAATGGCGGCGGTGTATGTTGCCTTTCCCTTTGGAGTAGTGCTTGGCATCGTGGTCCAGTGAGGGATTCGGGTGATGATATTGGATTTTTCGGGACCAAGGTACCACGAGTCTGTGACTTGTCCGAGAGCTCCTGGGAAACCCTTCCCAGGGGCGATACCGACAGCAATAGCGATGTCGTCTATAGCCTTGTTTAGTAACCCGCTGTTAAGGTAAAAGTTACTAGGACACTTACCAACTGATTGGATGTAGTTTGCAGTGTTGATATAAAAGTTGAAGCCATCACCCGGCTTGATGGTAGCTGGTGCTGAGATACCAGTGATAATGGCAGAGGAGAGGCCGAAAGTAGCGGCGGCAGAGACAAGGAGGCTTGAGAAATGCATCGTTATTGGATTTTAAAATGTAAAGTATACAATAAATTTAAAGTATTAATTTGAACTATACTTTTATATGTTGATATTGCAAGCGTTCTGTAAATGCAACTGAACTGTGATGATATCAAAATTTCAACGAAACTCTGGGCAATACTTCCACTATATATACACAACGGGTAACGTTATAACTAGTATTGCTGATGACGAATTCCAGGGCCCGCGTTCGTTGGCAGCTTTCTCCTACAAGATACTACATCTACTACGGCTGAGCATCATAAAAAGCAAAGATAAACTGGAGATTATGAACCTTATTATCGTATGAAGTCATGATTAGGAGATGCGGGGAGATACTATCCCGACGAACCGAACGCGCTACTCAAGGAATGATGGAAAATTTTAGATCGGCTGAAGCCATGAGGCTCTAGGGACGATCCGATGCTACCCTGTGGGGTAACATGCCGGTAGTGGCTGAATGCTAAGAATAGCCAAGAATGGTGCCATGTGCAACTGAGCCCGCGGAAGAATTTTCGAATACCATACTGAGGACTGACCTATGGTAGAATATATTCAAGCACAAGTCGGAGGGCAGCACTGATGTGGAAATCCTTTGCGTCGCCACACTGTCTCCTCCTAGCGTGAAGCTGAGAGTTGGATGCAACGTCGTGCTATTCTAAGCATCGATGATAACTAACCCGTGATGGGTATTGAAATTCACAACATCATTTAGATATTCATCTATATGCAAATTAATCAGACTAAAAGAGATGATCGGGAAATTTTGGTCGTTATGATATCAAAGTCTCCACAAAGTGGAGCTCGGAAGTACCACGGCCTACCTAAACTTGCCGAGACAACCCTGCACACTCGGCTAGAATTTTCTCTGCAAACTCCAAAGTTAGCATGCAGGTAGTTATTGATTCCAGTCTAGTCAACACCACGAGGCGAGTAAGTCTTATGGGTTAAATTTTGTAAAATTTAATCGCTCCGGTAAAGTGTGGTTTGGTGCGCTGGGAAAACTTTTGCTAGAAGAGGGTAGTTGGAATCTATTGTGGCGTGATTTTTTTCTACCACAGGCAAAGACAGGAACTTGATGCTCTATCGAAGAGTCCATATCATTGCCATAAGTGTGCTCGAAATCCCTGAAATCCCTGCTCTGAGGTTGCTGCTAGCCATCTGAGGAGCCAGGCCAAGTCGAGTCTCGAGAAAGTTCCGAATCTGGCAGGATCCTACGAAAACTTGCTCGACACCAACAAGGCCTGGTTTGTCTTAAACCCAACTTGAGCTAACGCTATAAACCAACCTTCCTGTTCCATTTCCACAAGGGCTTAAATAAAATTTTGACTCGGAGTCTTTCAACAAATCATCTGCCCGGTTAGCTCAATCGGTAGAGCGTAAGACTCTTACTTTCTCTTAAACAGAAACAGGCATCTTAAGGCTGCGGGTTCGACCCCCGCATCGGGCTTCAAATCATCCAGATTCTTCATTGGAAGCATCTGGAGTATCTTTTTGTTTTAAAAAAACTGAAGCCGTTGGGGATTTCGATGGTGATGTGTTACTTTTTGGCAGGGAATCGTTGATAGATCGGGCAATATTTGGCCAAATCGCCCAGTTTTTACGCCGCCTGTTAGCTTGGTCGTTTCTCTTTCAAATGACCCCAAAATTATGCCAAACCGTCTAAATTCTATAGGACCTTTGTGGTAAACAGCAATTGCACATTGGTGTTGCATGTCCGAGGTGCACTGGTGATTTTGAAGTCTGCACACTCAATTTTGGATAGCTCCACGAATAACGAGTCAAAATTTCTGTTTATTAGATACACGGCTTCTTTAAATACAGGGGATCATATTGATATCGTTATTGATATACATATCAACGATCCAATCCATCGTATGCACGAAAGGCCTAGTTGATAGATTTCGATGAAAAATTTTTGTTACACGGACCAAACAGGCAATGATCACCAACCGTCGATCCAACACAACCTATCAACGCCCAAAACCAGGTTCAATGCGTCACTACATCAGTTCAGAAAACCAATATCCAGTCTCGAAAATTTGACAAATGATTTTTCGTAAGGCAAAATACTATAGTCGGGAAGCCTTCTTGTGTTACATCACTGGGTTCGCCAGCCATTTGGCTATCCCATTTTTAGATACGATACAAAATAGAACCTCTTGGGTTCGATGATACACCTTGACTCTGCTAAGCTCTGTCAAGAAGCCCCTGCCACGGTTCTGCGAAACATGGTGCGACAACTCCCCAACCCCATGTCAACACATTCGACGCCACGTTCTCGACTTCGCATATACGCCTGGCACGAGGAATAAATACGCTGCTATTATATAGAGGGGAAAGGTTTTAAAGTCGTTTTAGCCAAATTTTTGACTAGAATCTAGTCGGCTCAGCTTTCTTCGTTTTTCGGACACTTCTGGGCCCGCGGGCTCCGTGTAAGGCGCAGCGGGTGTTTATGAACCATGGACACGGGAAAACTTTATAAAACGGAAAAAAGAAAGAAGAACGACGTTCCATATCCATTTCAAAGCTTCTCGAATCGGAACGCCGCTGGTCCCTTCGCCTTGAAGTGATTTCAGATATCATGCCACTTTAGGCTTGGGTATCTGAAATAAAGTTTCTATGACCAATGCAGCCTTATTCTCCGACAGCTGGGCATGTCTTGATGCCTCATGTGGCGCCGGAGTTCTATATAACTACTGCATGAACCCCCAAAAATCTGGATTTACCTGGTTTACGATTTCAAAGGCCTGGAAGCTCCAACCTAAATCCGGTACTTAAAAGTACTTTTCATTTACGTCTGCTGAGCAGCGTAACATAGGCTGTTGACCGGCCCAAGTCTTCTCATCCATTCGTTTCAATCAACTTTTCCAACAACCAAACCCAAAATATCTTAGAATCGATCGTTCTACAACACTCATTCAAACATTTCAAATGGTTGCTTTCAAAACACTTTCAATATTCCTCTCCGCTGGGATCTTTGGACTCCAAGCCCTAGCTGGCCCTATCCCAAATACAGATCTCACAAAAATTGCAACATTCAAAGAGATTCCTCATGTCGCAAAAGATTCCCTTATAAATTCCCTAAACGGCCTTCGAAAACGATTTTCAAAATTCAAAATTGACTCGGTATCCCCTCCATCTGAAGATCCGTATCACCAGGGCCATATCAACCATGATGGCGGGCTGCCGGATGCACAGCAAGCAGCAAACCGACTGGCCCTAAGAACAGTTTCGGAAAATATTCAAGTTCAGGTGGTAACTTTAAGTCCTGAGGAGAAAGAAATTCTCCGCCAAAAGCTTTCAGGCCACCTGATTTTCGATTCACCGAGCACTCTGGGTCTTCCTGAGCCACCGGGACTTATCGTTGCATTGTTGATAATTGGCACTATTGGAGGAGCACTGTTTCTCATTTTCCCTGTTGGCTGGCTCTTTTAAGAAGGCATTCATTGGTTATGGTTAATGGCTTTGGGGGAGACTTCTTTGAATCTTAAATTCTACATACCTTTTTAATTAATTTTACTGGATTTTCACAGCATTATGATTTTATGACCTGGGTGTTATACGGAACTGTACAAACTTTCAATCGTTGTTTTAGCACTGGCGCAACTGTGGTGTTTTTTTTTTCTCGTTGAAGAAAATTTCTATAGAGTACTCGTTTTCATTTTCTCGCATGTGCACTGTCTTTTTTCGACGCTGGCGGTCAACTTGTAACGTTTCGCGATTTAAAGATTTGTTATGGCAGCGAGATGATACCGCCAATTTCTGGGCATAAGCAGGTTCTCTAATTCATTGCTTAGGCTTTATACACATAAATAATTCAATTTACCTACGACCCCGCTATTGAATACCATCGCCAAAAATTGCTTATAATTTCTTAGCTGCGTCAACATAATACGTAGACATCTCTAATTTGATCAAAAGTTGACCCAACGCCCCGCCCTCGGCTGCGTCCCCTGGTCCCCTAAAGGCGTCCTTGCTCCGATCCGACTCCCTCTTCGCTAACCCACCATAACCCCTCCTCTCACTTAACGCCCGAGCAACATTAATAAAAATCCCGACGCGCTTTCTAAACTTCCCATACAGTTTCCCAAACGCCGAGTCGTCCGTTGGCGTCAACGGATCCACAACTCCCATATGCTGCAACCGGACCATCTTCGCAAACTTCAAAACCATGCCAAATATCTCTTCCACCAGATTTAACACCGGCTGCTGCCTTAAACGTAACATCGTCGCGAAAAGCATCTGGTCTAGGCAACTGTTGTGGTAGGCCGCTAGTTGTCCTAAACTCTCCATCTCGCCGTATCGATCTGAAATATCATACTTTTCGAGTCTACGTTCGATTTCGTTGAGCTTTTTTGCGAACTCCTTCCAGACAGTTTCCACCCCTGTTTCAAACATGTACTTCGCGAGGGTCGAGACAAAGAAGTGGGCCTCGATTCGGAATCGTAGGATGATAGGATTTGTTGTTGGTTGCCTTTTCCCTCGTTCGATATTCGTATACCCAAATAGCCTGTTCACCACGTAGACCATACGTATGACCCGTAGTAGATGTTTGAAAAGTCGGTCATATTTCACAAGGCTCACCGAATCGATGACAGCATCATATGGACTCTTCGGTCGGTAACTAACCTGGAGAAAATCCAATGCTTCAAGTGAATCCGGATTTTTGCACTTGTCCTCTTCCTCTTCGGTCATCTCGCGTACGGAAAAACTGAGTCCGCCTGGGAGATCGTCGTTTTCTTTATGCCCCGTTCCCCTTCCAATCCCCGAGGCATAGCATTCGGCCATCATGCCCATCAAAGCCAATCTTAGCTCGGATGACGCGGGTGGCCAGTCGTCTCGTACACCGAGTTGCAAACCCCAACCGCCGGTTGCGATTCCTGATCTAATACCGGAATTTGTAGTACCAGTTGCAAGCTCGTCGCTAAACAGCGAAGCTGAAAGTCGGGAGACATAAACACCGTCCCCGAAAAGCAAGAAACTATGGAGTAGTTCATACTGATTCTGCACCCGTTTTTCTTTGAAAAGCAGTCGCATACACGCCATGTTCGTTAACCGAGCCTGGGCCTGGACTGCAGGATTGATAGATAGTGAAAACGTGACCGATAATGGAGGTGGGTATCTCGCCGTCGTTGGCTGTTTTGATGTTATCGGCTCGACAGTGAGTGCTTCATTCCCTAACTTATCATCGACTGCCCCCTCGAATCCGAACTGCCGCTCTGGTACGAAGTTCATGTCCTCTAGAGATGCTGCAAGGCCAGCTTTGATTTCTTCCTCAGACTTCCCGATAAAATCAAAAGAAAACCCATCATTGCTACCCAGCCGCGGATGGTCTGCTAGTCTCGAAAAACGGGGTCTTCTTGTGAGATTAAACGTTTGCATAGCAAGTTGAAGGCGTTTCTCGTGAGTAGCGGCTTCAAGATCGATCCTACACTTTGATTAGCACTGCGCCGTTCCGTTGGCTTTGGTCTTCTTACGACTGTAATTCATCCCACGAAAAGCTCCACCGCATGTTCACTTTTTCCACCCCATTGCCACTTAAAAGCGGATGGGTAGGGTGGAAGCGTCGTAGCAACCTCAATCCTCTTGATGTCTCATGAATTTTCTCCGCTTCTTCGACCATGAGAAATGACGGAATATTGGAAGGGGCGAATATCTGGCGCTGTTGTCAGAGGGCGAAACAGAGTACAGTAGAGCAAAATACCTACCAAGTCATTGTGTGGCTCCTCTTCCCCCTCCTGTAGAACAGGGTCACCAAGTTCGATAAAAAACCCTTCGTCTGCGAAAATATCGTCCACAAAAGGTGTACTCTCGATGGTTATTCCGATGGCCTTTGATACCATCGTAAGCCAGGGCCGCGTTATCCGCTGGAGCATTAGCAAAAGCAGATGTCGCAACCAGTCGCTCTTATATTCTGATTGCTGGATCTGCTCGAAGGTAGCGGATAGTAGTTGAAAATCCAACCTTGCGTCCTTGACCCTCTCTACGATCCTGAGTAAAGCCTCCAAGATCAATGTTGGGACTCTGATAATATCATCGAGTTGGAGGATGCTTTGGATGCTTGTGAAAAGGACCGTCAACCGGTGCTGGACTGCAACAGTAATAATCTGAATACAGTGTGCCAAACCGACTCGAGATTTGCAACAGGAACTAAATCAACAATTAGAAGGGTCCTATGGCAACTATAGGTGGTGTTGGCTAACCCTATATCTGCGTAGACGGTTTTGGCGAATGCCTGAAGGGCTCTTAGATGGTTGCCACATTTTAGATACTGTGAAATTAGACTGTATACCTATCAGCCAAAGTATTCAGAAATTCAATCACAAGTTTCCTTACTCGTCCGTTAGGCCAACTGAAGTTCCTGATAACCGTATATCTTCCTTGGTCACCTCAAATTCCTTCTCTGCTTCGTTGAACTTGAAAAGCATTGAGTCCCACCCTTGGGCG